ATGTTAGCTATCAAGGAGTGACGTTGTTTTTCATTGGGACCTTCGTCCCTTCAAGGCTAGGCCTATACCATCCTAGCTAGTCTAGGCCTAGAGTAGGATAAGGCTAGCGCGACATGCGGACGTTGGTACGTGTAGGTTAGTCTACAAACGTTGCCTAAATTAATTGATTTTACCCGGCAGAACGAAAGAAGAAAACTCTGCTTTTCAGTCGTCTTAGGCCCTCAGGTCTTAGGACCTTTCAGAGGTCAAATTGCCGTCAAGAATATGAATTGGCTGCTTCGCAGCAATTTAAAGTAGGATGGTGGCTGATAATTGACTGTTGTTTGCATTGTAATTAGAGTTGCCTCTTCAGTCGATTGTTTAGCACTTTGTAGCTTTTACTTCCATCACCTCAGCTTTGTTCAGCATACTTTATTTGTCACGTGACTACTCGTAGCGGTGAGGTCATCTCAATAACAGGTCACTGTAGATGGCACTGAAATCATGCCCAATGGCTTCTGTGTATGGATTTTAATTCAACTTGTTTTTGATGAGAATGTATATATGTATATATATATATGATTATATATATGATTATATATATATGATATGTTTAATTATTCAGTGTATAGTTGCTTGTGGTAAACAGGTTTGGTAATGTAATGAGATTGTCAGAGGATCTGAAAGTGATGAAACAAAAGTGAAAAATTAATGAGGATGTTTGGCTCAATCCTATTGAAAATTAAATTAAAAAAACTTGAGAACTGGTGTTTGTATACCTATTAGTGGTGCCAGTTGAACAAGCATGGGACCCCCTATCATCATATGTCACTTGTAGGAATCAGACAAATAACTACTTATTTGCTGGTCCACATCCGGGATATCTCTTTAAATGAGCTTTCTTAATACCCAAATATGGTAATTATATTTTACTGTGCATTGTGATGCAATTGGCATCGACTTCCGGGAGATAATTGATGTGAAGTGAAATCGTGCAAAAACATGCAAATATGGTAAGTTTTGTTGTTGCTCGCCGGAGTGCGAGATGCCTTCCCGTTTTCTGGGAGACTCCCGCCTTGCAGGAGACTTGGGATCGCTGCTAATGCTGTTGAAAGACGATTCGGTATTTGATGATTAATGGATTTGTTTGTATTCTCTTTTGAAGCTACTGTGAATCCACACGGATCGGCCTGCCCGCATTCCCTGAAAATGGTAGCCTGCCAGCTACTGATGGAGATCTCAGCCTTTTTCCGTGATACGTACCAGTATCTACCTAAAGTGCGCAAGGCGAGTCGAGGTGGGTTCGGTGTTATTAACCGCAATAACGAGTTTCTGGATGTGCCGCCTGTGTCTTATGGACAACGTAAAAATACCGGTTCAAGTGTGACACCCAGCCCCCCCGTGCACCCACCGCGCAGTTTAGTTCACCCGGTAGATAGCTTTACAGGTTCGTGCACTTTCAGGAACCTTCTAATGAACACTCACTTTATTTAATTAAAGAAAATTTAAAAAAAAAAGAAGATTTCTGTGGCAATATCAAAGTTGGTTGTGCCTATTATTTTCATTAATCATTTTATGAAATTTTTTTTTTTTACATTGAAAAACAAATATTACAAAAAAATTACTGAAGCATTTATGTAAAAATACAAATTACGATAATTGCCATTTGAAATTATTCTCATCAAATTTTACCTAAAATATTTTTGTGAAACTCTTTTAATTTCTTTAAATTTCAACCAAATTTTACTATTTTTTATTTCATGAATTTTGGAAAAAAATTTTCTTTTCAATAATTTATTTATTTGGGTTTATGACAACCTTTTCTTCTTTTGAATTGTTGCATGTATTTCTTTTTAAACATTTTTAGTTTTTCTTTTTTTTTTGGTTGGTGAAATGATTGGTGTAGATTGATTCACGACATTTGGATTCTTGTAAATTATAGGATTTTTAAATTAAAATATCTAATAAAACTAAATAAAAATTATATATTCATTTTCTTTTATCTAAATGTTGATTTTATATACTTTTATTTTAAAATTTTGTTTCATTTTTTTAATCATGAATAAAAAGTACAAATTGTAGAATATTTTGGTTTTTTGATAATAATCATTATTACAGGCAGAAAGAAAGATTTTATATAAAAATTTATAAGAAAAAATAAACAAAACAAAATTGATTTGATTATAAGCCAAGTTGAGATATAAGCTAAATTCTGATTGGTTGGTTTATCTGGAAGTTTAACATCTGTTGCTTGATTGTAACCCAAGTCCTCTCCATCACTTCTTACACGAATGGATTCCTCCTCTTGTACTTGAATGCATTACCGTAAATTATTCTACACTTTATCTACATTAATATATTCTGCATGCAAACGCCCTTTTGAGCATTTTTTACCTTTCCCTACCCCACTTTTGCATTTTTTCTCCCTTTGAATGGACAATTGTTAACTGCCTGGGCAGAGGCTTGTTCACGAACGTTTGTTCTAATTGGCTTGAAGCCAATATTTATCGAACATAGCTGTTAGATTTTCTGCCCTGTTTTTTGATAATATAATTGTGATATGAATTAACTTAATATTAATGATGTTATTGCTAATTAACATTCAGTTGCTTATTAATTAAAGCGCTTTATATAAGCTTACTATAATAAGTATACAAGTTCTACAACAATTGCCAATTATTAAATTATGTTATATATTATTATGTTCTTAATCTCATATGTGATATACACAAAAGTTAATGTTTTACATTTCTCTAGAAAAAAGGTTTAAAACAATTATTGAAAGAGAACATCTAAGTTAAAATGGGTATTAGAGAAGTCTTTATTAAATTATGTTATATATTATTAATATGTTCTTCATCTCCTATGTGATATTCACAAAAGTTAATATATTTTACCTCTCTAGAAAAATGAATTTAAAACAGTCATTGAAAGAGAACACCTAAGTTAAAATGAGTATTAAAGAAATCATATTGTCATCTAGACACATTTAATCTCAAAACCCATCAACACATTGAAGTGGTTCGAATAAGATGCTCTTACCCTGATGTAATTGGGACCCCACCCCTAGACACACATACCCACATAATTAGACTTCATGCAATAATTATCTGGCTGTCATTCAGGAAGTGACAAGAAAATCAGTTTTGCAGTTTCTCCATTGCCGGATGAGAAGGATTCACCACATAGCAGCAACACAGAGCTCAATATTACTGAGGAACAGAGTCGGAAGGAGAAAGGTACTTTGTATCAATAGTTTTTAGTGTGCTTTTGTCTCTGCTTTAAACATGTCTTTGGTGTCATGACAAAATGAGTCATCTTGTACACCAAATCGATTTGATACATTCAAAACAATTTGCAAGAAGTCATATTTTGACAGAAATTGTATTTTCGTGTTCCTGATGTGTTTGATAGTAAATGTACATACATTAAATGTGTTTTTGAGGCACATAATGTAAAGCTGTTTTTAGAATTGATAGGAAAACCAGCAAATAATTTTCTAGTTATTAATGTTTAAAAGTGATTTTCTCTAAAGTATGTTTACAGAAATCTGAATTTCAAAATGATCTTACTCCAGTTTTACACAAATCCAAAATAAAGCTTATAATGTCATTAGTTGAAAATATATTAGTAACTCATTTGACATGTTCGATGCGAAAAGACTCATTTTGTGATGACACTTACACCAAATGGCATTTTCAACTGTCATTGCCTTTCTCAATATTACCAACATCAGTATTGTCATCATCACCATCACTGACATGGCCTTCAGGAAAATTTTTCATGCATTAGTCTAACCTTACAGAAATAATCTTATCTATCTGTAATCATTTATACTGCGCTATTTCCAATAGATTCATAGAGCCGATAATAATGTTGTTTACTGTATTTATTGTACAACTTGAAATTAAAGAAGCCCTTCATATTACTTTGGCAGTCCTTCCCTAATAAACAAACAACTCATTACAATATCATTCTTTCATTCTAATTCTTATAAATAACTTACCACAGTATTCAGTTAAAATATACATGTCTTACAGTACCTTAGTATTTGGCTATTTGCCATACTACTAGCATAAGCACTATTGCTGATTGCATTGATGATGATGTGTGACACATCGAAACATGTCGTTTGTTACTATCATTGTTTTTTATGAGATGCATTACTTCATTCATACTATTAACTGTTTTGTAGGGTTAGTCTATTTGTATTTCTGTTTGTATTCTGTTAACAGTCCGTAAGACAAGTACTACTAGCGGAGAACCAATCTATCATAGGAAGAAGGGAATAGCATCGCCACCTCCGCTTATAGGACTAAGTCCAAGAATCCGCCCAGAATCAATCATCTTTAGTAAGTAGTAAGATGATTACAATAATTCGAACTGCTTCAAGCACATCGTACAAATTTGGAATGGCACTGTGGTTTACCCTCCATTCCCAGTTTCTGGGTTAAAATCCTGCGACTTGAACTTGTGTTATATAACATTTGTCAGAAAACTAAGGGTGGCTGGTAGGAATTTTAAGGGTAGATGGCAATAACAGTGGTAAACAGTAAATAATGAGAAAGGATTTAAAGGATGGGCGATGGGGTTAATAAAGGTGGGTGGAAAAATTCAAGGCTGGGCAGCTCCACCTCCATAACTACATCCCTGATCTGCTTTCATAACTCTAAATTTTTAAAAATTTTTTCATACAGAAAAAAGTCGTAAAGTGAGCGCCATATCAGTTGACGATGATTCTTGCGAGACGAGCAGCGTGTTCAGCGATCAGAGCCCGCAGGATCAGGATATGCTGGATTACATACCACCCCCAAACATTGAAGGTCTTGATGATATCGATTTTAGTAAAAATATGCCGTGGATCAAGGTAAATTATCTTCAAAATAAACTAAAAATTCTAATCAGCCTTGTTATTATGAGCTTAAAAAATGCTAAGATTAATTAATTGTGGTACTGTATTAGCATTCCTTATTGTGCTGTTCATTTTAATTTTTTATGTTGAAGAGCTCTTCTTTGAAGTCATCATGAAGTTATTAACAAAATCAATTTTGACCTTGGAAATGTAAAAAATGGCTATCCAATAACAGACTATGTTTGAATGTAGATAACATAGAATTAATGTTTATTGGTACACATAAAAAATTGTCTCGCTTATCAAACCTTGACTTAAATATTTATATTAATGGTACCCGTCTTCAAAGAGTTCCTTATTGTCAACACTTACAGTAGGTGTAATGATCGATAAAACTCTATAATGAAATAAACATGTAGATTATATAAGGACCAAAGTTCTTCCAGACTTGTTTTATCCAAAGAAATCAAGTTTCTTGCTCTCAATTTCTTTGCAATCAATGATATACTGTACAATGCTATTTTTAGTAGCCCCTTATTTCGATTACTGCAATGTTGTGTGGGGTAGATGTAACAAAACATTAAGCAATAAATGACAATTATTACCAGGGAGATGTAAAAATAATATATCCCTGGTACAGTATTACAGAACAGAGCAGCTAAAATAATAACAAATAAATGACAATATGATTCTGGTACACAAGCTCTTACTTAAGAAGAACTTAAATGGCCCAATCTTTAACTTAAACTTACCTTCAATGAGAAAGTAACGATGTACAAAATTAATGAATGGCATAACTCCAAATTACTTAAGAAATAAATTTTCACAAAGGCAATCAGCATATAATACTAGATCTACAAATATCCTGTACAGAGATAAACCTAATACAGAGTATGAGAAAAAGAGTTTACAATATTGATGAGACCACAAAAAATAGTACCACTCTTAAAATATTTGAAAAGATAATTTCAACATAATTTTTAGTATTTTTATGTATAGTTTATTTGGTTGTATCTTTGGTTTTTTTTTTTTTTTGGTTTTGTGCTTTTTTTTTTTTATTTTTTTTGTATAAGAGACAGTGTAAAAATAATATATCCCTGGTACAGTATTACAGAACAGAGCAGCTAAAATAATAACAAATAAATGACAATATGATTCTGGTACACAAGCTCTTACTTAAGAAGAACTTAAATGGCCCAATCTTTAACTTAAACTTACCTTCAATGAGAAAGTAACGATGTACAAAATTAATGAATGACATAACTCCAAATTACTTAAGAAATAAATTTTCACAAAGGCAATCAGCATATAATACTAGATCTACAAATATCCTGTACAGAGATAAACCTAATACAGAGTATGAGAAAAAGAGTTTGTTTGTTTGACAATATTGATGAGACCACAAAAAATAGTACCACTCTTAAAATATTTGAAAAGATAATTTCAACATAATTTTTAGTATTTTTATGTATAGTTTATTAGGTTAGTTTATCTTTGGTTTTTTTTTTTTGGTTTTAGGCTTTTCTATTTTTATTTCTTTTTTATTTCTGTGAGTAGTTCTTGTTTAGTTGTTCATTCTATGGTTAAATTTTCATGATATGTGAAAGGTACATAAGGCTTCGTGGAAGAATATGACCTAGGTGAACGAGTTTCCATTGTAAAAGAAAGATTTTATTATTATTTCATTTCTGTTATGACTACTCCCATAAAACATGGTTGTTCTTAGAACAAACTATTTCAGCGGAACCATCACCATTTCATTGTTTTCTTGCAATTGACAACCAGTAGTTTGCAAAATTTACTTTCCTGTTTTGTATTTTTATCATGTAAAGTGCCTTTGAACATGAAATATCATGAAAATGGTGCTATACAAATGTGGTTAATAAAATAAAATAAAATAAATCATCAGAAAAAAGTGGGTCTCAAGTCTTTGTTTTAAAGCTACTGTGGTGCTCATGAATATTCATATTTATTTAAGGTTGTGGTTGAGATCACTAGCAAAGCAAATTTCATCTGTAACCATCGACAGTTTTGCCATCCAAATTGCTATGAAAGGCAAAAGCGTAACTGCTACCGGTTGATGAAGGCCGTCCGGAGTATCTATGGAGAAGAAAGTGTCCTGAAGATGAACGACAGAGAAAACGTGGAAGAGCTTTCGAAAAGATTTGATCAAAAATCAAAACGCAAGGCAAGTAAAATTATTCATAGCATTAGTCATTAATATTAGTGTCCTATAATTGAATAATCATTTTTCTAATGAATATTCATGAAATAGCTTCTGTCATTGCAACAGTATTGAAGTGGATGTCTTTTCACATGGTTTATAAATTCTCATTATCAGCACTTTTGAGGCCATGAGAAATATATGGTGGACTAGGATTTGGACTTTGGACCCTGTGCTTAGAAGGCTAAGCGCCTTACTAAGCTATAGCTTCACTAAACCCCATAATTTTAATTTTATTTTTTTTTGCGCTAGGGGTCAAACAATCACACAAATGTGTTACGTGGGTTCAGCGAATCAAGAAGAGAAAGTAAGGAATCTTTATTGGATCGGCAACCAAGTGTGTTTCATGCAAGTCGTGCCAACTCCTTTATCCATAACCCGTTGCTGTTTCCTCTTGAGCCAGAACGTCCGCGTAGAGAAGACTCGCCCATGATGCAGTACCTCAAAACACAGGTGCACCTAATATATTTGGAATATTTACAAGAATAGATGGATGGATAGAATATCAATTGTCCGTGATGTATGAAGTTCAGTTACTAGTGACGTGTGTGCTGTCTGTGTTACTGTGTATGATAGGCAAGCATGTATAGGCTAAGCTAGAGTAGGGTGGGTCAGGCTACAGACACTAGCTAGTGTGGGCCAAAACTACAGTTGTAGTACTAGGGCCAAGTACTAGTATAGTATAGAGTAGGCCAGTTATTAATTTAATTGTACTGCTAACGTTAGTTTAGTAAGTTTCGTTATACTTCCATTGCCTGACCCTTTTTTTCATTGAGTTTTGAAATCTTACCACTGTTTATTGCCTATGACTTACATCGCGAAACACATACAGCCGGTGAAAACGTCTGATACGCAAAGGAGTGGGTAGGCATGTGTAAAAAGAAATTTACACTGCTAAAGAGAACAATTATTGAAACATGAACATAAATTATTACCTATTCTAGGTGTTTGCTATACTTATGTTTCACCTTATTTGTCTTTCAGGCGCTATATCTGTGGCACACCCCATTTGCATTGCTTGCCAAGGCAGCACCAATACTAACTGAGGACATATTTCAAGATATTTTACCCCTAGCATGGGAGTTGCTGTTGGACACAAACCAAGAGCTCGCTGGTGCATCAGGTGAGTGCCCTTTTTAATCAATGTTTATCATCCTATGAGGTACAAGATACAAGCATTTTGTTATCTTTAATATTTTTTATTCCTAAATTTTAACCAATTATCGTGTTTTTCCCCCCTTGCTCATTTAAGCTGCAATTGTTCTTATGTGCTCCGCCAAGATTCCAGACGCCACAATAAAGATGATAACCAATGAGATGGAGCATGAAGACTCGGGACAGCGTGTAGACGCCATTCAACGCTTTGCTGTGCTTTGGCATTTCCGCTACCAAGTCTGGCCAAGAATGGAAGACAAGGCATCTTACATATTTCGGGTAAGTATTGTTTTCTTTCATTTTTTAGTAAGCTCTATTATTCTTCTTTTCTTTTCTTAACAGCATATTTAGATGATGTTTATTCAGGGGCGTAGACTGGTTCATCCTGGATGGGTGTGAAAATTGATAATGCGGAACTAGTCAGCGGGGAAGTTGTGAAAATTGAGAATGTAAAACTAAATTTCTATTTCACTGGCAATCAGCAATGTTACCGCTGTCAAGCACTCAAACAGAAGATAATTCGTCAGCTGATGTAGTTTGTACCCGGTTATGGAGATCAAATACTTAATAATTATTCTGTTGACTTTTTCTCTAGGTCTCACCTCCTAGCATAGATTTCACCTTACCATCGCCAACTATTGGGCTCGCCAACATACCTGTCGTGGCCCCTCCGTGGATGCCAGACAGCGGGTATGAGCTTGGGGACAAAGTTTCAACTGAGGAAGTCTCGGTAAGTGACAATCTAGTGACAATCAATTTCCAATAATATCATAATCACATAAGATATAAAATAATTATCAAATTTTACATTAAAATTTTTGAATATTTAAAAATGTATGCAAAGCAATTAGCAATTAAGTTTAATTACTAGAACATCTAAACTACTAAATTTTCAATGGCATTGAGATAAATATTTTATTATTATTTTATATATATTTTTGAACCTACTTTTTAAATGTAAAATTGATCATAATATTTCAATAGTATATTAACAGTGCAAGTTTTCTAAATAAGAATTTCCATTTAAAAAAATCAATCTGGATTGTTTTTTTTAGTACAAAGTTGGATGATTATCTTGGAGACATAACGTGACATTGTGCTTTTAGGTTGTACCTATAGTTTTTAATTGTTTGTCTTCTATAGCGGTCCTTTACATCCGTGGCAGTATCACGGACAAACCAACGTCAAGAGCAGCTGAAGAGAACAATGCAGCGGGAGGCTGAACGTAAACGAAAATCCAGAGAAACTTACCATCTGACGACAGCTTCGGTGGCGCAACAAGCAGCTTATGAGCCGTCCCATCACACATCGTCTGATGATGAAGGTAGGTTTCTGCTTCAAATTATGATTTGCTCACTGTGTTTGAAAAAATATTTGAAAAATTTACAGTATTATTAACTGACAGATGAAATTTTGATAATCTTTTATATGGGTTTTTGTTTCTGATAATAATTTCTACAGTCTTTTGTATTAGATGTAAAAGAATAATGTTTTGATGACAACTCTTACAAATGTTTGGATGTAGTAATTATTAATCTTAAATAAAAATGGTAAATATAGTTTTACTACCAAACCTGCATTAATGATTCATAAATAAATAGACATATTTTATGAATATTTGATATAATATATCAAAAGTTTTGTATAATACATGTGAAATTAACTAAAATTACATTGCCATTCATTCATTCAAAAGTTTTGCTCATGGAATGTTATTGAATGAGTTGTGAAAACTTGACTAATCAGACAAGCCCACTTTATTGATCAAACAGTATATTAAAGGAATTAATTGCATATTATTTTGTGAATGCTTACCAGAATATACCTGGATTTGCAGAACTTGGCTCCCAAAAATAATGGAATCATTTAGGATTGCAAAGTATACTTATAAGGAAGATCTAGGATAGTTTAGGAGAGGGGACTGATCGATAAAAAATGAACACATATCTTAATACTTGGAGCTTCGTCCTTATACATGGTCCAACCAGACATGTTGGAAACACGGTTAGCAACCAGTTCTCTTTGAGGTCAATACATGCTTCTGCATTTGTTCACAAATACTATGTTTCCACACCCACTACTTTGTACATTTATTTTAAGAATCTACATCTCATTTTTTTACCAACCTCCTACAACCATCAATTTACCCTTGCTTTCCCAATTCTCCTTTGCATGGAATTGTTTTTTGGTTTTATCCACTCTAGGAATTACATGTTAATTAATAAAAAGCTGCTTTTTATTAAATATATTTTAAATCTTATAGCACCAGTATTGGACATATAGTAAACGTTACTATACATAAATGTAAATCCTTTAAACATTAAGTGAATCCCGTGGATTTCGTAGAACACTATCACGTTTACTGGGAAGCTAGAGTCATTCAGTACCATGCATAAATGAAAAGGGTATGAGGATGTGTATATAGATTAGAATGTTGGGCAATTCCATTATTTTTGAGAGGTAAGTTCTACAAAGGGAAAGTTGGCATTTATCAATTTTTTACAGGCTCCTATAACTAATATCACTCCTAAGATTATTAATTTAAGTCAAGGAATTTTGATGGCATTTCTGGTTACTAATTAATAATAAGAATTATTAAAATTTGAATGATTTCTAATTAATGTTTATTAGTACTGTACCTCTTCATTTGATTTGCCAATGTTGTTTTCGTAATAGAATCTTATCTTAATGATTCTAAAGCATATTATTAATTTTGTACTAAATTTGTGTAGATGTGTTTTCAATAAATGTATACTAATGTTTATTTAATCTAATTGAATTCAATCTAATGATATTCGTTTCCATTCACAGTCTTTAAACAAACTTCTCCCAACTCCAATCGTAATGTCGTTGATTTCATTTCTATCGAGTATAACTACAGTCTTTTAGCAAATGACCACCAATATTTTATCATATTTCTTTTAATATTTTTTCACTTTTTACATATTTTCCTCTTGAATCATATTCACTAAATTTTTATTAAATCATTCTGATCTGATTATTTGATTTTAATTATTGTGTTCTTTTAATTATTAATGATAAATGTGATGTTCATTAAATATACTTTCATGTTTGGTGTTATATTTGTATAATATAAACTCATCAACTCAAACTTAACTCATTAATTTGAAGTCATTATTTTTAAAACAAAAGTATAATAATAAATATTTATAATGAATTTAATTTTTAAAAATTAGTAGTTTCTTTCAGCCATGTGTGTTTTGTTTTATGCAATGTTGCATGTAAATTGATTATTTATTTTGCATTTATATATATGATGTTTGACCTATGAACTCTTATGATATTTCTATCTATAGAGGGCAGTATTGTGTGTTTGTAAATGACATGTTTTGCATGTTGATAGCTCTATGTAATTAGTAGTTTATTTTTATTCAAGTTTATTTTGACACTTTTTGAGTAAAAGTATATAAATTATGAATATAATATATAAAATTAATATAAACTTATTTTTTATAAATCAAAATGGATATTAGAAGAGACCATTTTTGTACATTTGGTATTGATCTTGAAATCTTTAAACAATACATAATAGAATGATTATAGCACAGTATTAGATTTTTTTAAGATGAGAAAGATAATTAATATAATTAATGTAATGAAAATATTTAAAATGAATAAAAAAATCTCAAGAAAATTATATAGTTGTGTAAATAAATTAATCCATTATAGATTTATAAATATTGAAAACAGTTTTACTAGAATTATTTGAGCTCAAGTAGGAAAAAAACATTTAGCCTCGGTTAACTATTGGATTGTTTCAAATGTGTTTGTCATAATATGCGTATGTTTGTGTGAGTGACATTTGTTTTTTATTCCTTCTCTATCCGCTTCATTCTTTTTTCTTTCAGATTCTTCATTTTATTGTTTATTTTCTCATTCACATGAATTCAATAAGCATTCTTTACTAACGACATTTAAATTGGAGTTGAAAAAAACCACATTGAATTGTAAAAGGTCATAGCTATAGCAACGCTATGCTATCTGATTTAGCCTCACGCTTTCAAACAACCTTGTGTGCTGTAAGGAATGATATCACAAATAATATGCTAACGCAATCTTCCTTTTAATGATCTAACCCCTCTGAATTGTGTTTTTACTTAGTATACTTATTACTAGTACTTTGTGTGTGCCATTTGCTTTTCCAATAATCGATTTCACTCCCTTGAGAAAATAATTCTCTCTGTATGTATGTGTTGCCATTTTTTGCATTTTGTTGATATCTGCTTTGTAGACGACACTATTCCGCTGTCGGCACGCCGTGTTTCCATAGCCCCGCCCCCCAGCGCCAATAGCGTGAACCGTACTCGAAGCACGTCGATAAGACGCGCATCTCTCTGGTCAGGCGGTACTGGCACCGGCATTAATATAACCTCAGGTAGTTCCGTCATATTATTACCATTTTCATCTCATTTTTTAAAAAACAAAATCATTTAACATCCAAGAATTACAAAAAATAAAACTACTGTGCATGCTCCATCCCAGTGCATTATGGGATGGACAGTAGACACACCTTTTATTATATTGATGAGGCAAATTATTGTGAATTTTTGCTTCTATACTTTCCTGCATGTAAATAAATGCACAAACTCCAACATTACTAATAGCATGTTTAGATATTAACATTCAGAAAGATGACATTATAAAGGTCATCTCAAATCCCTCACCTTTAGATTACCACCAATGAACTATGTTGAATAGTGAATTATGACCTCTGTTTTATGCAACGATTGGATTAAATAGTCAAAAACTTGTCAAAATTTAATAAGATAAAAATGCATATACCTTATGATACATAACACAAACAAAACACACACCCCAGCAACTTAATTCTCAAACACATGTTCATACACACTGCAAACATATTTAAAGATTTTGTCAACATTAAGTCAGTTGAATACCAATAACATAAGTTATCAAAAAGAAGATAACTATTTTAAAAGAATCAAACAAACTTAAAAGTTTCCATTATTACTTTAACTGGTGGTGTCTTTAAAAAAAAAAAAAAACCCATAAAACATGATACTGGCTAGTCTGGTCACAGAGCTATTAGGTTTAATAAGTCATGTTTTCTTTTAAATTCGGTGATAGTTTAATTAGCTATACAAATTTTTTTTTCGCTATCCTTACCTCCATTTTCTGTCTATTATTGTGTCTGTCCATTAGTCTGTCTATCTGTCTGTCCATTTGTCTGTCCATGTATCTTCCCATCTATGCCTCTATTTGCCATTACTTACTTAAACCTAATTTCCTTTGTATTAAAAGCTATTTTTGTAAATAGGCTTTGTTCATTAGTTACACAAAATTGTTTACTTATTAAATCACCAAATTGATTTTGTTATATTGTAGCACAAAATTGTCTTTTATTATAATCTTTTAATCATCCAATTTTCACACTCTGTGATGTATTCTACTGTTCGGTATTGAACAGGTAATACTCAGATATACACTGTACAACAAACATCATACTGCTGAACTATGAAAGCTATGTAAAATTCTAGTTACTAATAATATTAATATTTACTTATTTACCTAGATCATTTCCAGATTAAAAATGTGTTCAAAGCACTTTACATTAATATTGCTAAAATACAATTGTATGTACTTTTACATTTCAATACACCTTTTGAGTGAACATTTACCTTATTTCCTAAATATAATTTTCCAACAAAACTTAATGTTCTAATTTTTTTATTAATTAAAATAATATAATATACATATTGAACTAGAAAATAATAAACAGTAGTTTACTATAAAAACTTTTTTTGTTAAAACAATGAAACATACAGTACATCATTTGTACAAGCGATCAACATAAAATTGCATTAACAAAACACGTAAAACACAAAGAAAGCAGGCATTACATTCATATAAATTTCATATAAAAGTAAACTGAAAAGTAATTAAGAGATAATAATTAAAATTAAGATCAGTACATAAAATTCAATATTTACTTCTTTAAATTTTACGTAAATCACTTAAATTAAAACCAAAAGCAGTCATTCAAAAAATCACACCATTCAGTAGAAAAACAGATTAATTGACATGTTAATTCACAGTTTTCTCAATGTATTTTTCAGAATTAATGTGTTGAATATCGTTGTCCATCACATTTCGCGTGTATTTTGTATGTAAATTTTTGTTGCAGAATGAAAAGAAATCCCATCCCTAATTGATCAATTTTTCCCCATGTTTAATTTTGTGGCAACCCTCTATTTGGTTTGTTACATTGCATGTGCATGCTTTGCTTCTGTAAGCACTAGCATAGAAAAATTAATATCTTGTGATATTCATCCAGCAATGTGAAACTTGACCTTTCACCTTTACACTGCATGGATAATTGGCCAATAGTATTTGTTCTTATATAACTTTTTGGTTTCAGGAATAGGAGAGTTTCTAACTTCTTTATTTTTACAATACTAATACACTTCCTTCATCCTTTGATTTATGGTCAATTGGTTTTTTTTAAATATTTATGTTAGTATCTTAAGTTTTTGTCCACACTATCAAATTTTCTTTGACAAAAAAAAAGTGGTATGCCCATATATAGTCATGATGTGCCCATATATGGTCATGATGTGCCCATATAGGGTCATGATATGATGTCATCATGACCATATTTAGGCAAAAATAAAATATTCTTTGACAAAAAACTGTTGTATGCCCATATATAGTCATGATGAGATGTCATTATGACCATATAGGCATGTCATGTTTTTGTCAAATAAAATTTGGAAGTGTGGACAGAGGCTTTAGTAGATTTAATATATTATATATTAAACAAAATATTATGTTTTCCACACATTATTGTTTTTCATTTTTATGCACAATAATGTTATTGATTATAATTTATCAACTTTTCTTTGGAGTTTGTGTTTTCTTAGATTTAATAATTTTTCATTATTATTATGTTTGTTGTAAAAATATACTTATGATACATGTTGTTCCATCAAATTTTTCATTAAATGTGTTTATTAGGAAGTTTTCAAAATCACTATGTAGACATTACACATCAGGATTTTCCAAATTGGCTCCACCTAATAGACACGAATGGCAACTAAATTCTTAAAATTCATTGATTTTTTGGTGTGTTTCTTGGTTGGAATGCCAGTAAACTTTTTTAAATCACTTGGAAATTGAGCTTTAGAATATTGTCTGAACTGTTTGCTAATGCTGTAAGATACTTGTGCTATAGGTTACACCTACTAAAGGGCACATAACCACAGCTGGCTGATTGTGTTTATTCCGATGCGATGCTGAGAACTAGTGTTTTTGAAGTGATACAGAGTTTGCATGCCTATCAAAAATTAGAAAAAGAAATTAATGTAATTTACAGTTAATTATATATTTTGATTTTGAAAACTTCCTATAATAATTTGTCATCATGAAATATGCCAATTTTTGCAGATATTTAATTGTTTTAATTACAAAAAAATATCAATAAATTTCATATAATACTTAATAAATTGAATAAACCTAAATCTGAGGTACAAACTAATATTATGGAAGTAAACAGTTTAAATAATAAGAATTTATACAGTTGTTACACCTGATCATTTAATCTATATTTAGAAACATGCCCAATGTGAGAATTCCTCAACTTACTCTCATAAAATATTGAGTAGCTCACTTAAAAGTCTGGCAAATTCACTTAAAAGGATCAAATAAGGTCTCAACATCCAATTTGACACTTATAAAATAACATAGGTTTTTGCTGAATTATGGAATTTGTCCTGTGAAAATTTAAAAGCCACTATGCAGCATATAATAGAAAATTAAAACTACATGCTAAGATTGTTGGCCATTCTTACATACCTGAATCTGAAATCCTGAAGAGGAGGAAGAGTGAAATATAAAAGATTAAAATTTGGAAAATGGAATGGAAAAGTTGATTAAAATTTTTTTTTAGCTGGTGATGATGATGCAGTGTTTCCAGAGCGCTACCATCACAATCAGCCAACGTTTCAGCTCTTTTTCCCATCATGCATCTGTAGCACACTCGTGCACCTGATCCGGTTGCTTGATGATGGGGAGGTGAATGCTGAAGGCATAGCAGGTGAGATTGAGCCATCAATCAAGATAAATTGAGGCGAAAAAATCTGGGCAAATCAACTCAGAATGTAAACAACCCAGGGTAAAACAGCCTAAGGCAATACAATAATAATGATGATAATGATGATGATGATGATGATGATAGTGACAGTGACGGTAAAGGTGACATCGATGTTGATGGTGATGTGACGTTGATGGCGATTATGCTGCTAGTGTTGATGAAGATGAAGTCATTGAAGGTTTATTTGGATAACATTCTTATTGTTGATGGCGGTGGTGATAGTCCATTACTAATAGTAATGACTATTGATTGTGATGATCATGGTAATGCAGTGATGACGATAACATTATTATAGTGAATGATAATAATTCAATGAAATGATTTTTCATTTATTAATTGTTTTTGTTTTTCTTTTGTAATTCCTTGTTTCTAGTTGGTGAGGTTGCGGGTAAGGTTCTGTGGTCCTGTTTGGTAGAGGAACCAGCATTGATCCTACGTTATATCCTGGAAAAAATAACTATACGAGAGAAGCAGGTTTGTTATTATTCAATAACTATGATATTAACATTAGTATTAATGATATTAGTGATGTTGATGGTACTTACCATGTACTTACTTACACTTTTGGGTAGCGAGAAAAGAAAATAAATCACTTGCCGAGAGAGAGAGAATGGATTGAACCTTAAATGGAGGCTCAAAGCCTAGACTTTATCCAGTATTGTGAATTAGCTATGTATACTTGGTACTTACCGTTTCGGTACGAGTTTCCCGCGTAGCTATACACAATGGTGATAACACTGTCACTTGTTATATGGTCGAGCTCTGGATTAATATCTTTTTTTTTAAATATTAGGAAGAGATAATACTGCTACTGAAGAAGTTACTGATCCATGTTGACGAACTGCCACCCCAGACAGCCCACACATTGTTTAATTATCTTGTAAGTGATATTAGAAACCTAGGCTGAATATGGGAATGGTAAGTGATAATGAGGATATAAAGATGGTGAATATAAAGGTCATGATGCTGAGTATTGAGATAGTAATGTTGAGAGGGGTGATGTTGATCATGATGGTGGCGGGAATAATGATGATTATAATGGTATGAAATATGGTGGAAAAGATGATATGAAGATATTTAATATTGGGAGAGATAGGGGTGAGGGAATATGATGATAACATTTAATATGGTAGTAAAGATGATGGTAAGGATGACATTGATAATACACTATATTGTAATAATGAAGATGATGATGATGATAATAATGATGGTTATGATAATGATGATTGTGGTGGTAATGATTATGCTTAAAATGATGATAAGGACAACAATGATGATGATGAAGGTTATGATAGTGGTGATATTGAGTTTGGTGATAATTGTGTTGATTTTGATGGTGGTAGTGATTTCTGAAGTCTGAAGAAGACTTATTTCCAGTGGGGTCCTTCTAGTGGTGATTGGGCAGAACACCGGGAGACAATCCCCTACTCTTTTCCTGTGAGTGTACTGCGTTCTTTAACATGCACATGGACCGTAATGCACGCAGGACCAACGGCTTAAACGTCTCATCCTAAAGACGGTGCTCTGTCGTAACTTGTATTCAGCCCTCCAGCTAAAATGCAAGGAGAGCAGCGAAAATGACACTGATAGTTATGATCATAATACTTAAAGGTGGTAGTGAAGGAAAAAAAAGATAGAGATGTTGATGATGATGTTAGTGATGTATGTGTCAGTGTTGATGATGAAGGTGTTGAAGGCAATGCCACCGAAGATAATGGTAATGATATTGGTGGTAGTGTAACGATAAATCATTATTTTCCCATTAAAAATTGACATTTTAAATTTATTTTCAAGCTTGGGTTTCTGATGTACACGTGCCGTACACCCCACTCTGGTGCAAGTGAGGCCATTGCGAATGCACTGTCAATCATCTGGCGGATTATTCCATATGTTGTAGGGGTATCTTTCAAAGATTTGAAGCAGACTCTTAAGAAAGAGCAATGTGATGTAAGTAACATATTACCCATAACTGAATAGACTAAGCCAATTCATTTATAAGTGCTATTTTTACATAGTATTTTACTATGCAATGCAATACAATTACTGCAATGGCGGATTCACTGAGTTCTGATTGTGATTTCTTTTGATTTGTTAGCCAAAGAATTAATACTATTGATATTGCTTTATTATTATTATTGTAAATTATTATTTAAATTTTAAGTGCTATTTGATATTGTTGCAATATCGTATTTTCTGTTTGATTTCCTCAGCCAACAGTCCTGGTCAGCGCTAATGTACCGTATGCTAAGGTAATGTTTTGATTTTTATTATCTACAATTACTAATTAAATTATTATGGTCTAAACAACAATTTTATTCATGTACTGTAGACAAATTTTATAAAGTTAAAAAAAAATTAATGCTAAACTTTTTATTTCTTATTTTCCAAACAGAAAGTGATAATACATGGTCCGATTGAATCTGATATTCCCACCCAGTTGCCGGTCAATGAGGTAAGTTAATTCTCACACTGTGATTGTTCTGTCTATCAAAAACCTAATAAGGAATCGGAAATAAAATATTGATCTATCTGAATATTTTTATGTTGTGTACCAAAAAAGTTGTTTTGTGACAACACCTCACATAAGTGCTTCTGATTTGGTTTATGAAATTTAATATTTTTATTTTTAGTTGTGTTGATAATCCTATGCTTTTATATGTTTTTCATATTTTAAACAATTACATATTTCTATTGTTTAAATAATATTTTGTACTAAAGAGGCAACGACGAAGATTCCGCAAGGTATTCAAGTGGCGGTTGAAACCCTCGTGTGAAGCGATGACGTCCAATCAGGTTCTCACAGAAAAGAAACTAACCGTATCTAATATATGATGAATATTAATTAGAGTTAATGAATATTCACTGTGTGTTATAAATATTCATCAAACTACACAATTGCTTATTTGGGAATTGTCGCTTAGCCAATCATATACAATAACAATGCTTTATGTGTTTGTAACTTGTTTAAATAGTTTGCTGTGGACTGGTTGTAATATTGCTTTATTTGTTGTTTATTTTTTTGTCTGTAATGAATTTTATTTATTTATTTTATCAAACTCATTTAGCAAAATGTGTATTAAGATATGTATTCAATTTGAAACGAGTTACGGTATATATATATACAGTATATTATACACACATATTTTTTTATTTTATTGGTTTAAAATTTTATTGAATAAGTGGTGTGATTGTGTTCATCTGGGACCGCTATCACCTATAGCTTTTCATTTCATTGCTTTTAATACCAACAGTGTTTATTTATGGAGATAGATAATGGCTTTCTATCATAAGATTGCTGTCAGTTCTTTATTTATCATTTCATTGTTTAGACAGGTCGGAAGATCATCATCATGCAGTAATTAGAAAAATCATATACTGTAACCAACCTCAATTATATTGGGCAAATTGCTGTACATAGTTTGCTGTGAACTGGATCAGATATTTATCGTTTGTGATTGAGTTTTTTGACACGTACCTTTAAATTAATTCCCAAAATTGTGTGATCGGTCAAAGATTTTTTTTTTTTCATGCAGAATTACTAGATATTAGAATGACTGGCAAAAATCTACATCTTTGTCTGTATAGTGCAGTTGATTTCTATATGTTTATACATATACAATTGTAAGACCATCATACTGTCTTTATTGATGATATCCAGTGCTGCTGCTGAGTTCTCAACAGTGCCGTAACCAAGGACGTACACACCACCCTATATAAAGTACCCCACTCTATTTAGAGCACCCCTACTGAAAATGTCCTGGACAGTATATACTCAATTAGTTGATAAAAACACCTCACATCAACTCATTCCCTACATACTATAGTGCCTTCTCACTTCCCTTCCCCCCACCCCTCCCTCCACCCATCAGCCATCTATGTCAATACCTCTTAAACACCACTGGTTATCAAGTTGAGACATAACATATTTTATAGTGGTTATGACGAGGTATTGACCGGGCCACTTTAGTACAGAAAGTATTGAGCCGGAAACCACCATTTTCAATCACATTGGTTTAGCTTAGTTGGCAGAGTGTCATAATGGTACTTTGAAGATTACTGGTTTGTACAGTATCTCAACAACAGCCAATATATTCTTCATTCCACTTTACTGAAATCTAAAGGACAATGAAGCAGTCTTAAGACAAACATATAATTAGACATACTCCCACTCTTAGTATCAAAAATAAATTTGACCTTTTACATTTGTAAGAATAATTTCAGATATATGATATGAAATTATGTAAACTCATAAATTAAGGATCTGTTATTTCATTGCTTACAGTGTAGATTGCTGTTCCTTACCTATCATTTTAATATTTATTTTTACAATATCATTTAATACCATTTTGCAGTCGTGTGCAATAAAGTGTAACTTTCATTTTCATTTTTGCTTTTAGGCTTCTAACTTATTTTTACTGAAATATTTATAATGATTTTGTGTTTGCATAGGACATGCAATTTCAGCAAATACTTGAAGACTGCTTTGAGTTCTACCACATCTCACCAGACCAGCAGGCTTGCCACTTCCTTATTGATAAGAAGACAAGTAAGTTATTAAAACAAGAGTCTGTGTTAAACTGAGGTTTAACACTTCGTATATGCACCTTTCAGACGAGGCTTTTGGTGACACTATTAAAACATGCTAAAATCATGGAGAAAATATCTTCCATGCTTAAATACAGTACATTGTAGCGCAAGTTATCATATTGGGTTTTCAGCAACAGTTCATAATAAAAATAAAAAATACATAAAATAAAATTTCTTAAAATAAAAAATAAAAAATTGAATACCAAGACGTGATTCGAACTTACGACTTTTGGTTCTTTAGAACACATCCTTAACCAACCGCACCATCCATGCAACATGCTCTATTAGTGGTAATGGCAGTATGTACAGTCCTTGCTGAAACCCCTGTTTTGTTTTGTAGGTGTAGGGGGCACCTTGGGATCAGACTCAGCAAAAGGGCCATGAACGTTCATTGAAAATAGCCTGTAGTTTATGTGTACAAAATTTTCTGCACAACAACAACAGCAGTGAGGTTTTGCGAGGAAACTTGAAAAAAATACAACATACTGTATATGATAGTTCCCAAGAATCCTCTAACCCATAAAGATTTATCATGTATTTTATTGACAAGTACTGTAAGGTATCTTTAATAATAAATAATAAATAATATTAAAAAAAATAAGTGATTATTGTTTTTGTGATAGTATTTCGTGGCTGTTTGTGACTATTGCTACTTCGACACTCTGCCTTTGGATTTTTAAAACTAGGCACTGGAGGAAAACAAGTGTTTGATACCCCTTTTCCTCCAATTTTTAAATATTGAAAAATCTATTTTGTAACGAACGATTCAGAGTTATTTGTCAGACATCCCATCATTTTCCTCTGAAGTCTGGCTTTAAAGGTGCTGTACTAAACATTATTGCTACACTAGAACATGAGAGAAGCTTAGCTCAGTCGGCCAATCTGGTGGTAGCCACTGTGTGTGCTCTGAACCGCGGATATCTCTAGGTCCCAGGTTCAATTCCCATCGCTGCCTGTCCTTGTGTTTTAGTTGGAGGGCTGAAATACAAGTTACAATAGTGCACCGTCTTTCAGATGAGATGTTTAAGCCGTTAGTCCTGTGTGCATTTATGGCCCATGTGCCAATTAAAGAACGCAGTACACTCTTCGGAAAAGAGTAGTGGATTGTCTCCCGGTGTACTGCCCAATCACCACTAGAAGGACCCCACTGGAAATAAGTCTTCTTACTAGACTTTCGTGGGGTATTCTTGGTATTTACACCTAGGATACCCCACGAAATCCAATCCAATCCTGCTGTATATATATTGTATGATTTCTTGTATTGCTTAGACCAAATGCTTGCCATGCGTTCGTATGTTCGTGACTTCTATATGTACAAGAGGATGCAAAGTCCGGAGCTTAAGCTGCAGTACTTCAGCCGCCAGTCTGGCATTCAGCAGTTACAGCGACAGGCGTTCACAAATAAACTCGCTGAAATTGGACGAGTGTGTTTCACATTATCAACTCTACAACACACAAACCCGAATCAGGTCAGAATATAATTGAATGCATAATTAGTATTTATATCCGTGTTTTTGAGAGTGATTTTCATTAGGATTGTTGGCATCATGGTTACTTACAGTTTTGTTTGTTTTAATCCTAGATGCCAGTTCATATCTCATTCCTGCATGGAGAGCTGATAAGGCTGCCCTCATTCCCTCGCAAGACACTCGATGCAGAGTTTGATCTCTACAGAAGCCCAGCTCTCGGAAAGGTATTTTGTTGACAGTGATTAATTGATAAAAGTTTTAAAAGGAAAATAAAGCATTTTTAAAATGTTATTTTAATGCCATATCTTCTCTTTTTTTTTTTGGATTTAGGAACTGTTTGGTTTAGATGTTATTCACAAACTCCAGTGGGTTAAGGTAAGGATTTTATAAAATGTATTACTTTGCTAATTTTGTTCACGTGGTTAAAATGAGTGATAGAGTGGTTGCAATTCTGGCAATTCTCTAATCCAAAGTTTGAGGTTCAAATCTTGCGTTAACATTTGTTTTCTTGGACAACGAACTTTCAAAAGTTTGTCTCTCCTCTTTGAAGTACAGGTAATGGTAGAAAATGAATGTTCTGGGTTGAATGTTTTTTTAATCTATAATCTGAATATTTACGTGTAACTAAAAATATACCTCAAGGAGCAGAAACGATTGAACATTATGTATACTGTAGTTCTCTGGTGGAAGCCTCTTGAACACAAAATTGGACCAATTTTAGGAGGTGGTCTTAACCCGAAGAGTCCCCAGTATATTATTTAAACTATTCTACTTTAGAGATAGCCATCAAAAAGCAAATTCTCTACGCTGCCTGTCCAGCGTAAGTCAGCTAAACTACTCATGCAAATTACTGTCTGGGCTTTACTGGGGAATAGCTGGTTTGTGAATTGGGACGAAAAATAAAGGGGTAGGCTGATAGCCGATGAACTATGTTAATTGTTATTGTTTCCAACTACTTTAACAGGGCAATAATGCTAAGCAAATTGAGATGTCTATTTCGTGAATGGCTATTGTTCCTTAAAGAACACCCCTACGACAAAAATATAACCGACCTATTGTCCCAGCATGTGACTTCGCCCATGCCCAAGGCTTGTCCTCATTCCTTTGTCCTCGGTCAACGAACGACGATCACACCCAAGCGATTCGAAGAGTGTTAAAATTAAATAGAACAACAGACATGCTGTCGAACTTACGCTCGTTGGCCCTCAACTACCTTCCTTATGGTCCGCGAGTGGTTAGAGTCTCATACTTCGGCTGTGGCGCCCACTGTTTCGGAGGATTCGTCCCCTCCTGAGGCTATACTGGGTCTATCAACTGAGTCCCTCGAACCTGCGCTTGTTTCTCTCCTTAAAACCCAAATGGGTATTATTGCTAAGGAGGCCTTTAGAGAGGCTTCGGAGCAAGTGTAGGCTGAAGCCCAGCTGCTTACTCCCACTCCAGCAGGAGAGGTTAATGCTTATAGCTGATGAACTATGTTAATTGTTAATAATTCCAACTACTGTAACAGGGTAATAATGTTAAGCAAATTGAGATTTTCATGTCTCTTACAAAAGTATTTCATTAAAGAATTCATTTTTGTTCTTTTTTTCTTTAGTTGATTTCAACAATGTTTAACAACATGTCAGCAGACTTCCAGTGGGGAGGTGACATACAGCTTTTCATTAACGTTATCAATGGCGCCCTCTTGTTACACTGTGAGGACATGGCAATCTTGCGTGTGTGTCTTGCCACCTACATTAATATAGCACGGCACTTCAAACAGATATTTGCAACTAAAGGGTAGGTTATACCTTACAATTATTAGTTGAAGTCTATAAAAACAAAATATGTCAATGTCAATATTACTTTATTTTATAATAGGCTGTTGCTTATAATTAATATGACGATTTTGTATAATATAAAATATTTGGAAGAACCATGATTTGGTGATACAAGTCTATTTCGTGAATACTTAACTGGATAACCGACTAATTGCCATTGTTCCCAAGACGGAACACCCCTTCGAAAAAAAAATGGAACAGTCCGACTCAAGGCGCCACGTGCGAACCGTCTCCCTAACAAACGTCCTCATTCCCTTTTCGACGTTGTTCGAAGTTGGATACACATGTTTTGTTAACACTTAAATATATTATTTAAACATAAACACAAAAATTGTTAACATTTTCACCATACTGTATACAGTACTTATACATGTTGTTTAAGTAAAAATATTATTTCTTTTAAATTTTGAGTTAAACAATTAAATGTCATGCAACAAATGATGTCATATTTAGGCAGTAGTAGCCTGGGTTCCAGGCCCTAATTTTAGGTTACTCACTCTTTATTGCACTTAGTGCACGCCATACCTAATTTAATTGGCGTCCCATACTCGATTTCTTTTGTGGCAAGTCTAAGGCCTGTCTCTTATACACATCTAGATGTGTATAAGTTATTTTCAACTTGACAAGATATCCTTTGTTTATTGTAGTCTCGATCAGCATGTCCGCTCGCAAGTCTTTGTGCTCGGCGTGTGGGAGCCCTAAACCGAGTGTTAAGCTCGACCGGCACTCGGAGTGCCCGTTGTGTCGCTCGTGTAGCAAGGCTAAGCCTTGCGAGATTTGTGCGCGCTGATTGATTTGTGTATTTTATCACAGTAGTAAAATGAAATTATTATTATCTCTTGTAAATAATTTTAGAAAATATAATCCTGATAAAAATATGAAATAAAAAAATAAATTACTGATTAGCTAGGTATCTTGCAGTATCTGTGGAAATCCATGACTGGAATATTCCGCAGGGAGTGGAGACGGTTGCACCATGGAGAAATGCCCCATGGTTGTTCCATGGTGCATGACTCCTCTATGACTCAAGTGACCAGACATTTAAGTGCTTTGAAGCTTAGTACTTTAATAGTACTATGTAGCATCACAACCATTGTAGTATCATTGAGGGTTGTGTGCTTGTTGCTATGTGGTAATTCAACAGTGGCACCATAATGGTAATGAGGGTAAATGCTAATAATTATTTAGCAAGTTACCAACAGTGATATGCTAAAATATGTGGTGTATGGTAATGTTTATGATTAAGTTGATTTTGTTCGTAGCAGTTTGCCAACAGTGGTATGCTACAATATGTGGTGTATGGTAATATTAATGATTAAGTTGATTTTGTAGCAATTTACCAACAGTGGTATGCTAAATTATATGGTGGGTGGGAATGTTGATGGTTCAGTATTTTGTAGCAAGTTACCTACAATGATGTGTTCAAGAGTGGTGAGTGATGGTGTTGATTTTGTATCAAGTTGCAATAGTACCACATTTCCTCTGGTAATCTGAAACTACAATAAAAGCCTGTTGAGTGGTAGGTTTGGTGTTGATTGTGCTGATGTTTTCTAACCATGCTCTTTTCTCTGTTGAATGTTCACAACAATACTCATGATAATTATAGTAATATTTATTCACAGAGACTGTATTTTGTTTTCAAAACATTGGTCTTTCAAGAGACATTTGTTAACATATCTACAAGTAGAATAATAATTGTAAAAGCAGAGAAGACACAATATAATGTGAAAATTAACCTTTGTTGAATGGAAACATTTTGCTAAAAGGTGAACTGAACCATACTAAAACTACAGGACATTAAATCAAACATTTCTCAACAGATCATTCAATTACTGTCTTTAGGGGTGGGCCTGCCCCCTCCCCCATTTTGGAAGATAAATAGAAAAGAAAAACAAAAGAAATAATGTGAGAAAAAGAGAAAATTAATCACCGAGAATGCCTCTGAGGTTATTTTTGGGCATCTAGAACACAAACAAATTTTGCGGGGACATGCCCCCGGGCCCATAGCGTAGTGTTATCTCGATTGGCCCCACTTTCTGCCCCCCCCTCCCATCCAGACATCTCTAGATCCGCCCCTGGTCATGCACAGGCCATTGGATGTGCTTTTATATAAAGTTCAATACAACAATTAATTTGTCCAGAACATGCCAGGCAGCCAGTTAGGCTTGGTAAAATGTTAGAAATTTTGTATTGTTTGATTACCTATGATATACTATCTTCTTACGATTTTTGTTTGTACATTGTACATGTATTTCAATCAATAATTATTTATGTACCACATTGAATTTTTGTAATTAGTAGTAAGTGGTCCTTTTCAGATACCAATATACAATGCCAACCATTATGCGGCTGTACTCGGCACACCACTGCAACCCCATGGTCACCAGTGCCATCGAGGTAGCCTAGCCTAACTCTTGATACTTTTTTTTATTTGCCTGTATACAGTAGTACAGCCAATTGTATTGAAATCAGTTGGCTTCTTGAGTCATGCCATCCATTTGGTGTCCACTGTACATTCACATTTGCATATATAATACTTAGAAATGCACACATTCATGTGTGTTAATCACATGACTTGCTCAGTGAATTTTACAATGTTGAGTGATTGGCTAAAATTTTACTAATCCTAATTTAGATAATTCTTCAAACTTTCCAACATCGTAAATTTGGTGGGGAAACAACATATATTTGATGTAATAGTCACATGCCTGCCGCTTGCTCATCATGTGCCAATCATGTGATCAACATAGTTGGTAATGTGATTATCATAATTGATTATGTAATGGTCACATGTCCACCATTTGGTTACATGTGACTAAAGAAAGAAAATAATTTGAGCAAGTCATGTGACCCTTGATGGATGGCTACTACTTGCTTGTTAATGTGAACCATATATTGAATTAGTGTAGTTAAGATGATTGATTGATTCATTGATTGATGGCTGTCATTATTTGTCAGAGCAGTTCATTTGCATAATAATATTCATGCTTTATCTTCATCTGCAAGTGTGATTCTCTAATTCATCTTTGCGCTATTTCATTGCACCCTATCATTTTAATAAGGATTCTCTCATTTTAACACATTTGAATTTATCCAAGTAGTATTCTTCTCATCACACTGCTGGTTTTCTTCCATTGATATTTAGAGTATGAGAAGTTTATGATGTAGGTTGGAGGTAGAAATACCTTCAGTCTAGGGGCCTGGGTTCAAATCCTGTCAAACTTAATTTTTTTTCCCATGACTAAATATAGTAGAACACAAGGGGACACTAGCACCAAAAAAGTGTCCCCTTAATAGGGAGTGTCCCCCGAATAAGGGTGTCCCCTAATTAGGGGTTGGCCATAGTGTTAAACGATATACTTTTCCTTGTTTTGTTGCCAAAAAAGTATCGCTTTAAAAGGGGTGTCTCTTCACAGGGTTGTCCCAAAGGAAGGGTTCTACTGTATATGATTTTATTCTTACAAGTTTACTTGCTTCCTAATAAAAAACAAATAAAATTATTGGAAAATTTGCAGATTTATTTAATATCACTTCTTATATAATTAATAATTTGTATGTAACTTTTGCTAACAATTTTATGTCTAGATTATTAGGATCTTGGTTTGGAATTTGAAATTCAAATTATATCTTTTAATATAATACAAAAAAGATAGCAATAATGATGAGCAATGGTGGCGGTGGTGATGGTGGCGGTGGTGATGGTGACGGTGTGGATGGTTGTGGTAGTGTTGGTGATGGCAGCGGCTGTAATGGATGGTGATAATGGTGGTGATTGTGTTGATGATAATGTTGATGATAATAGTGGTGATCATAATGGTGGTGATGATGACAATCGTGCCAGAAATAATGATGATGATGATGATGGCAGAGATGATGATGATGATGATGATGATGATGATGCCAGAAATGATGCTGATGGCAGAGATGATGATGAGGATGATAATGATAATGATGATGATGCCAAAAATGATGATGATGCTGGTGGGAAAGATGAGGACTTGATGGTAGTGATGATGATGATAATGACAAATGTATTTGATACTACTAATAAGATAATTATAATGATGATTATATAGTATTTGATACTACTAATAAGATAATTATAATGATGATGATGATTATGTCAGTGAAAGTGATTATCAATTGATAATTTAGTTTTGTAAAAACCTGATTTTATTGATAAAGATGATGTAGAAAAATGTCATATCAATGATAATGTGTTTTAGCTATGTTTAGATAATTGAGTAGTATATTTTACTGGATATAACATGAATTACCTATCCATAAGGTTAGAGTCAGAGTGTGCCCTCAGGTATCATAATTAAATGCTGTGTAAACGAATAGGCATTCCACCAGTTAAATATCAACTGCCTTTTTATTACACACAGATATCATCTTCTACTGCCCACCTTGTTTCGGGCTCATTCTCTATACTACACCAGTTCTGTTACACGTTGCGCCATAGAGGTATCATTGCATGGTCTGCTACATTTCATTGTCGTCGTCTGCTCTCTATTTGTTAACAAAAGTTCGCCTTCAATCCTATAAATAGTTTTTTTTTTCAATTGGTTGTGTATTGCTCTATATGGTTAATGTTCTTATGCTCTGTAACAAACTCACAAAGGGGAGAGAGAATGAGGAGAGTAAGGGTAAAGAGAGAGTGGATGAGGGTCTGTAAGATACCTCTCTTTCCTGTCCTAGGGTCTGGGCATCAAATCTTTAAACAAAAGGAATTTCTTTCAATCATAAATAAAATTACACTCCCTAAACCTTGTATAAAGCATAAAAATGCTTGTTGAATATAAATAACCTCCCATATACAAAACATCTAAAAAATGTAAAATGTTTTCTCTATGGGGAGAGAGAGAGATAACAAATAATCATCTACATCACGTACGCTGACGGTTTATGGTCTGATTGCTATGGTTTTTGTGACGTTCAGCGTGTAGGGACGCACATGCGCCTAGAATGTCGATGCCCGAGTTATAACCTTTGATGTCCTGAGATGTGCGTCCTTTTGTTGAATTACCTTGGTCTGGGCATCAAATCTTTAAACAAAAGGAATTTCTTTCAATCATAAATAAAATTACACTCCCTAAACCTTGTATAAAGCATAAAAATGCTTGTTGAATATAAATAACCTCCCATATACAAAACATCTAAAAAATGTAAAATGTTTTCTCTATGGGGAGAGAGAGAGATAACAAATAATCATCTACATGTATCCAAAACATTCCCCTCTCATTCCCCTGCATGAGCTTATTCATTATGAAATGTATGGTTAGATTTGTCTTGAAATGTCAGTACTGTAGTTTGTATTTCTAGTGAAGCATGTGTAGTAAACAAGTTTATGTTGTTTTGATTCATTTTTATAAATGTATGTCGTTTTAATTATATTTGTTTAGGAAAATGTAAGAAAAATGAATTGGAAAACAATATTTTTATTTCAAAGTTATCACTTACATTATAAAAATTAGAAAAGTTCCTGAATTTATAATATTTTTGTTATATTAAAAAATGATAATTCTGTTAGTATTAAAATAAGGGATCAAAGATATATAGATTGAAACAGAAGTTTGCAAACAAAAAAAGACAATTTAAATAAACCATAAGCTGCATATATACAAATGATCTGTAACTAAAGATGGACATCACTTTGATTTATGCAGTGCAGTCCAAGATAATAAATTACTGTTGATTTACTTATTATTTTCTAGATGGCATACTGAATCAGCACTTTCTTGGTTGAGTGTGCCATCATCTTTAGTTAAAAATTCTTTGATAGAATACTATGAAGATTTAAAATTAGATGAACAAAACATTTATTTATAGAATTCGTACCCTGTTATTAGTTGTTTTTTCATTCAATTCAATCTTTATTTATTTCATCATAAAAAAAACTATAAAGTATATAAAATACATGTTAAAATAATTCTCATAGAGGTTGTACAGTTTAATCCATTAGTATTTTTAAAAAAATTCAAATACATTAAAATAGTTAAAAGTTAAATTCAATAAAAAAGAGACAACAGGGCCAATGCTTGCATAAATTGCACAGAAATGTGAGTAATAAATGTTTGAATTAAGAATAGTAATAATAAAAATAATCTAAACAAATAAAATACAATAGGCCAATACGGTAAAACCAGACTTCAAATTTGTAAAAATCGTAAAATAATAAGTAGTAAGCCTGGACATCGTCATTGAGTGTTGGACAAGTCTTGACTGACTGGTGTTTGTTTGTTTGTTTCAGTACACTTGTAAGCAGTTTTATAAACTCCACATGAAGCCTTTCATACTTCAGGTATGTGCACACCATATTTCTATGGTGACATTATCCAGATCTTCGCTGACTTTATCGATTTGCTGCTCATCATTGTCATTACTAGCAACATCATTTTCATCATCCTTATCTTCAATAGTGTTATTCATTATCATTAGTATCATCTTCATCATTATTGCATAATATTATTAGATAATGTATACCTCATAATTATGTTGTCTTCATCAATATACCATACATGCAAAGTCAGCATTGCTGTTAGGGCTATTCTCAATACATAGATTTAAATAAATAAATATTTATAGATTACTATTACAAACTTCTTCATCATGGTTATCCTCAACACCTTATTTTACATTTCTACCTTTCTTAATTTCTATATTTAATTTTGTTAACTCATTATGTCTCTCTACCTGTTAATTCCTATTGCCATTTTCTTTGTTACTAAATTAATAATGCACTATTATGACTCCCTTTTTCCCCCCAGATGTTTGGAAGTGCTGCTCCTCTGCTTGTTGTAGAGAAAGGAAATAGTCAGACGCAAATGATGCCTGTACAACCAGGAAAGGTAATATAATACTCATTCCTTGCACACAGTTATTATCATATTTCCTCTGGTATCCCATTTTAATCATATGGCAGTTTTTCAGCACCGTGTGCCTACTTAAAAGCGAATATGTTATATTTATTATTACGAGTTATTTGTAGAAGTCATAACCTGGGCTTTTGCCCGAGGAAAGACTGGTACATAAAATTGGGCATAAAGTGGGGGGGGGGGGCTTATACTTGAGGTTGGGCTTTTCAAATCAAATCATCATCATCATTATTGGTTCTTTTGTATGATTTACTAAGGTTTCTATCTACTATGCATTTCTATGCTTTCTTTTTTTTATGTTCTTGGTAGGTGTCAGCGCGATGTTTGTTCAAGCTTTTGCTGTCTTTGGAAGGCCATTGCGAGGAACCTCTGGATGGGATCTTGGACATCATGGAACTGGTGAATGGAGAGAAACCGCTGAAGACATTGGTTAGTGCCATTCATTTAACAGCATCATCATTGTCATCTGCAGCAATCATTATTATTAATATCAGCATCATCATCATCATTATCATCATCATTATATTGTCCTCATTGTCATCATCATCATCATCGTCATCATCGTCATCATCACCACTGTTGTTAGTATCACCACTATATCATTGTCCATGTCCTCTCATCATCATCATCAGCATCACCAGCATCACCACTGTCATTAGTATCACCATTATTATCAACCTCATTAACCTCGTCATCATCACCATTAGCATAATCACTAACATCACCATTGTCATAATCAGTTATGTTATCATTGGTAGTGGCGGCAATAATGTCCCAATGACTTCATAATTCTCTCTCTTGTTTGCTTCAGGATTTCATCTACAGCGGCAATGAGCAATCCAATGAGTTCTCCATCCTAGAGGCTATCAGGCTGTGTGTTGTCGTAGTGGCGTACTCACCAGAGACAAGTCGAAGTGCTCAGATGCTGGTAAGAATTTTACCTCACACGTTCTAATAAAAAAGTAAGATGACCCACAAATACAGCATTGCAGCTCCTAAGCTCTGTCCAAATTATCAATTTTCCTTTGATAAAAAAACTGTTGTATGCCCATATATGGTCATGATGTGCTTATATATGGTCATGATGTGATGTCATCATGACCATATTTAGTCATGTCACATAATTTGGTAGTCTGGAAAGGGCTTCACAAAAAATAGCGACTTAATTAATTCTTGGACATTTTTTTTCTTTCAGAGCGTCTTAGATGCTATTATTCCACTGTACCTTGAACACATTCAGTCTCAGACCGTCCCTTATGATAACCCATCGGCACAAGCAGCTAGAGCGGAGTCTAAAGTAATCAAGGAGATGGCTGTCTGTGTGAGGGCGCTCATCGTTGGTGCTGAAGCAATTTCAAGGTGAGTATTACAGTACCTATTTAAAAAGTTTGCTGAAAGATAATTACAACAGAGTGCTACAGTGAATGGGTGGATTGATTCCCCTCTTCCAGAATTGAGGGGGATGCACTCTGTAAAAGATTATGTATTGTAAGGAAACATTGCTTTAAGCAATTCTTCCACACTCTGCAAATCTGCAATAATAAATGTATTTATATTCAATAGGGGCACAAATGGCCCAAGCAGGAAGACTGATTCCCTGAATACAGCAGCCAGTTTCAAGAGTTCTTCTCATTCCCGTTCAACTTCCCAACGGAAACAGTCCAAGAAGTTGGTGACGATCCCTCAGAGTGTTGGGCTGGCTGTTGAAGAAGAGTTGCGGGAAGACTTTAAAATTAGGTAATTTACCAAAATCATAATATTTGTATAATTATGTATTTTTAAATAAGTATGTTACTATAAACAAAAAAATGTAAAATGTTGGCTTAAAAAAAGAGAAAGATAGATAGATTTAAGAACGTGTATTGGTCTATACTGCTTAAAACAAATGATTTTCTAGTTCTGCAGAGTGTAGTTAAAAAAACAATGGAAAGGAGACAACTATGCTAATGTATATGTATATGTGTATATCATACTTATTCAAGTTAAAGTCCCCTTTCTTGAACACAAGATAGGTGGAGGCTTATATTAAGGGACCATAAAATTCTAATTCGGTTTTATTGTACCAAAAATTGCATAGTTTTAATATAATTTTTTCCAAACATTTATTTTTGTGTTTTCGCTGATTAGATATAATTACGAACAAGTTAACGCCCAATACACTGATGAAGGTACAGACGAAATCGAGTCCATGAACGAGTACCGCAAACCAAGGGACATGTTGCTCAGCCTTGTGTCTGAGTTCTTCGCTCACAGTGTGCAGAGGTCAAAAGAACTGCGCTTGGCCGCACAGGGACCAGATATTTTTGATCAACGTTGTCATTTTGTAAGTATTATCAGCGGTATTATGGGATAGCTGAGAATTTTATGGATTGGGAGTTGATGTTTTTTCTGTATTGAGAAGCGTACATATTAAACTCTATGCATGGTAATTGTTAGTTGCACGCTGTAGTGGTGTTCGCTATTGGGAAAGCCTGGTTTCTATAAAATTGCTACACTGTCGCTACAAAGTTTTCAATGCAATCGTTACCCTGCTTAGCTGTCCCTAACAAAGTTGAGAAGGCTCTGTGATTTAACTGAGTAATCAGCATAACTGTAAGCTGCTGGTGAGTCTTCTTCTTATCGTGTCCACAAAAACCTTCAGTGTTTTTGATATGATCGTAAGGGCAGGCCCTATAAAGGAGCCGCTCTGGTCTAGTGTACTTGTGTACCTTGTGGTGGTGGTAGGAGAATTTGCGTTACCCAGGGCTGCGATGAGGACGCTTATACCGTGACCCGGTGATAATGTGAAGCGATTTTATGTGAACTAGGCTTTACAATAAAATGTTATTTTTGATTAATAAATAATAATGTTGTCTGTAAAATAATTTAGTTTTAATTAATTATTAAATACTTACTTTCTTCCTATTTAGAGATTAGCTGAAATTGCTTGCTGTCTGCTAAAGGTCGTGCCCCATGACCCTGTCACCATGGGATGCAAAGGCCTTCAAAAGTAAGTGTATTTTTTGATGCCAGTGGAAGTAATTCTATTCTTATATATGGTTTTCTTATACATATCCAAATGAATAAAAATGATTGTTTTTATTTTAGATACATTACAAAGATGATCCCCATAGTTGATTGGTACAACGAAGACTTGCGTCCAGCGCTTACATTGATTTTACGACGACTCGACAAACTTTTCACCAAGATAAATAAAAAACCCACATTAATGGTAGGAAGACATTCATTCATTGCAAATTCATCCCATAATTTGCTATAGTAGGTTTTACCCTTTATGTAATATAGCTTTAGATCTCTGGTCGTCCCATCCATGGAAGAATTAGTGTTATTCCAATTATGAAGCTAAGGAAGGAAAAATCTTCAAATAACCACTGATATTTAGGTTCGTCACAGAACCTTTTTAGGCTAGTGGTTATTACATGTCTTGGTGGAAACTGATTGTTTTTTTCCATCCTTTGTAAGATTCTTTTTCGATGTCTTTTGTACTTGTTCTCCCCTTATGCATATTGTTGTATATATATATATATATATATATATATAGGAGCTTAGAAGTATCCATAGG